AAGACTGCCAGTGTCTATTGGCGCGAACCACAGACAGCATTAACCTCGTAATGTTTACACGTCTGGTGGCTAGTGTTTACAATGGATTACGGGCATTCAGCCGAAAATACAACTTTTTCAGCTTTTCCATGAGCCACGTTGTTTGTTATGGTGTACACTGTACATAACATGTGTATGAAATGCTGCCAAACATGTTAGACAGTGAGGCCAATTCTCGCAGTCATTCTCTAAATTTATTTATGAAGAAATTAGAATAATTAGAATCACTTCAATTTTTAAGTTTGAAATGCTTTTGTGAGTCTAAATGGTCACATTATAATACCAATTTAATTACCTTCAACTACTTAGCGTATTACTTACGTAAGTTAGTACTTAAAAGTTGTTTTGAATACACGTAATAAAGATGTTATAAATATCTCTGTTTTGCTCAAGGTCAGCTGGTAGAGAATGACGTATGGCATTAAGCTCGCCTTTTTGTACAGAACATTGTTGTGTGTGCAATAAAGTCTTTAAATAAAAATAAATAAATGTTACAGTCAAAACTAATAGTCGGTTAAAACTACTTTTGACTGTAAAAATTAGTCAAAAGTTATATTGCCCAAGGGCATTATGCTTTGACTGTAATATAGACACAGATAAAATAGTACGAGAAGAAGTGGTAGCAAATACTTCGGTCACAAAATAATGAGAGTCTAATGGTGCAAAATATTACGATCATAAAAAATCAATTCAACCTTCCATTAGTTATAGTGCAGTGGCCAATCGATTGACACGCGCGCAGGCGCACACCGCGGCGTGAACCGATGCATTCATTGACGTATTATTGATATTGATTACCTCACTGCTGGTTCTCCAACTTTGTAATATGCCTACTTATGTATTTGATAAATGATTTGATTTGTTTTATGAAATAGAGATTACGAGATTATTCCCAACTCTCGTTTCCACAGCTGCAACTCCTGTGTAGCCAGGTCAAGTTGTCCCGGGGGAAAGTTTAACTGTCATTGGACCCGCAGCAAAATTAATCAGAAGAACAGGAGGAGTTCTAACTCTAGGAGTAGAGGAGTAACTGAGTTAGACTTTTATCAGCAACCCAGTAATTCTAATAAAGTTAATAGAAATATTTGTACGAAAATCAAATGAGTATTACCCTACCTACAATCAACACATTATGACCAAAAGGAGAGGAGAGAACTACATAACTTTTGGGTATGAAGTCCAAGTCTTCTGTAATATTGTCCAGTTTTTTCCTAATGTTGAGAAGCGCTGTATGTTACCTATTTGTGATGGCAAGTTATTACTTACTTAGCCTTGAGGACGAATTTATTATTCTACCATCATAGATGGTTAAGTGTTAAATCTATGAGAATCATATGACTATGATTTAGATGAAGTTTTCCCACACACGTGTGTAAATAAATAACTTATACTAATATGTACCTGTGATGACTTATGGCTCGGAAACGTGGCCTCTCACTATAGGCCTTATACAGAAGCTCAAAGTTGCACAGCGTGTTATGGAGAGGGCTAAGCCCGGTGTTTCTTTACAAGATCGAATCAGAAATGACGAGATCGGTAAACGAATTAAAGTCGCTGACATAGCCCAACGGATTAGCATAGCAATTAGCTAAAGTGGCAATGGGCAGGGCACATATTACGCAGAACTGACGGCCGATGGGGCAGCAAGGTTCTGGAATGGAGGCCGCGTACCGAAAAACGCAGCGTGAGACGTCCACCCACAAGGTGGACCGACGACCCGATAAAGATAGCGGGAAGGTGCTGGATCCAGGTCGCTACCAACCGTGCGATGTGGAAGTCATTGGGGGAGGTCTATGTTCAGCAGTGAACGTCCTGTGGCTAAAATGATGATGATGATGAATAATGTAGAGTCGATGGGACATCATCAGACTATATTTTTTATTTTAAAAGAACACCTATCAAGTTGCTATAGTGTGCCCCAGAGTTTATATTGGTCCAGGAACTAATTATACTCGTACAATATCTGAACAACCGTAACTTTATGAATCTGCTGGAGATATCCTGAAAACTATTGTCTTTATTTCTACTGTAATTAATACTGTACACACGTCTGAAGCAGGTGGTCTCACTACTAGACCACAGAGGCGGTTTCTTATTTAAATAGCAACAAAGACGTATTGCGAACTTTTTGGCTACTTTGGGTGTCACGAACTATATGATGCTGACTGTAGTGTTTCGCATGATGTGCAGTGGTCTGTGCTGATGACTCATATCATGTAGTTTTAATCTTTATTCTCATCTCGCGTGCAACATAGTTGCAGTGTATTGGCTTCGAATGTCATAACACTGTTATTATACATTACTTAGTTAATAGATACGCTCATTGAAGGAACACGTAGAAAGCGAGGCTCACGATTTATTAAGGCTTTTTTGTCTTTTTTCTGAAATCTGAAGTTCATGAATATAGCCATTTAATAAATACATATGTTACAGGAAATGTATGAATTCTAGGAATTGTATACTATTCCTAGGAAATGTATACAATTCCGAAGCTATTTAGGAAATGTATAAAATATTGCTTCAGAGATTTTTTAATACGCACATATCCTAGGAAATGTATACTTTTCCTAGGAATTTTATAGAATTCCAATATTGTATTAGGAAATGTATAAAACTAAGCGGCACTAGCGCGGTCGCGTGATCGGGTGCCCCTCGGTAGGCCTAAAATTTTATTTAGCCAAACCACATTGGCCGATAGGTAGGACTTTTAGCTCACAATTATTATTATTGTCTAGCCTGACAGTTGTTTTCGCACTATTATACTTTGGCCGAAAAAAACATTTGCCTATATTGGCATACCTTTCTTTCGGCATCACGCATATTACGCTGAAGTATTGGAAATCCCTAATTTTAACATCTCTTTTATTAAACTATTATTGGCATGAAGGTTTTAGTACTCCTGTAGCTGGATAACAAAGTCTCGGTTAGGTTAGGTTAGACTTGCGACCTTACACATACACAGTTGCCGCGGTAGCGGCCGCCGAGCGCTATTTAAGTTTCGGAGAAAAAAAAGTGCCGCAATAAAATTAATTTTGTTGGGTACGAAAAATTTGGCGATCCGATAAAGACCCCGCGTAATCGGATGATGCAATATCCTACCCTCGCACCGCATGTCCACGCGTATTCATTGAAATCTTAATTACATTTCCGATTGCTGTTTAGGAAATGTGTAAATTTCCTAGGAAATGTGTCTAATATAATTTACATCACACATTTCCGGGTGATTTTAGGAGTTATACACAATTCCTAGGAATTGTATACAATGACGGATTTCATACATTTCCTGTAACACATAATATACATATCTCTATATCTCTGTTTCTTTAAAAATTTAAAGTCGAGGAAGATTAACCTACTAATAAAGATAAAAGATTTCTGAGTATACATGGCTTAAGATAGGTAAACGTTTTTAATTCATTTCCTTGCGATAAATTCGTTCCCCAAGCATCTGAATTTCACTAAATTGGTTCGGTTACCACCCACGAAGATTGCGTATTCTATAGCGACTAACTACATAAAAGTTAGATGTATAATATTAGAAATAGACTTTTATGACATACAAATAATTAATCAGAGAAAATATTTATGAAACATTTCAATTGCATACGAGTAGTGTACAACCATGGACTGTAACAAATCATACAAGATTTCATCGTAACGTGGCCATCTTGATTTATTAGTTAATCTCAATTAACTGCAGACAAATCAATGGTGCTTATTGTTCACAAATCAATCCTAAATTGGGTCACTTTGTATCAATGAACAAGTTTTATTTAGTATGGCGCAGAATGCGTCCGCGAGCTATTTCGGCGCGCGCGCCGCCTGCTGTCGTCACGGCCTGGGTTGTTAACATTTGACATACAACTGAAATATGCGGTTTTGAACTTTAAACTGTAGATCATAGAGTGAGGATTAAGTTGAGACAGCTGCTGGAAGATGCGACCTTTAAACGGCTTTTGAAGTCTGAAAAGTTATTCCGTATTCTAATTTTGGCCAATGTCAACAAAATGAATATGAAAATACATAAATAAAAAAAATCGTTTGAAGAAAAACAAAACGTCGACGGTAACGCCCGTATTTTTCCGAAGTAGAGTCTAGTCAGATCACATCTAGTAGGCTTATGTTAAACACATCCTAAACTAGTTATTTTATTATTATGCGCTACAGCTTATTGTAAGGACACATGGATGGTTACCATTTACGCAAAAAGCGGATTTTGATCAAACTAAGTACGTAAATCTGTAAAAATAGCATCTAATAAACATTGTCGTTCTGTTACTTTGTAGTAGATTCGTTAGTTACATATTATATTATTATGTGATACCTACTAGTAGCTAGTGGATTCGTTAGTTAATATGATGTATTTTAATAGAGTTTAAGGCAAGCACAATATTACACAATAACTAACTCGTAATTCCAATTAACATTGACATTGAAACAACTTCATACGTAGGCAAGTCTATTAACCACTCCACGATTCAATCCGCACCCCATCTGAATGGAATTGGATGTGATTGTTGAAGCAATTGATGGCACAATCAATTGTGATGCATTTTAATTTTGTTGTGTACCTACTACAGCTGATCGATCTGGCTTCGTCTATAAAGTCTATATGGTAGTTCAATACAAATAAACCTTGCGATAAATAATCCACCGCAATAACGAAATCTCTATTGATAGAAATTTAATTTAATAAAGGGTTTTATTGTAATATTTGGGAAGTAAATTACACAAACTTAGATTAATTTGTATCTGACCAACCGCTTAGGCCGGCTCAATACGTTGCGTTGGCCCCAATGTTGGTCAACGCCACTGGTCAACATTACGTGGATGCCAATATTATTTTCTAGATCTACACGTTGGTAAGTAGGGTTGTGAACATTGGAGCCAACGTGTGGACTGTGGAGTCGATTGTAATATTTTGTGTCTTATTAAGATGTCCATAACCTTGATTGTTCCAGGAATCGTCCTGGTGTTCTACTCGGTGTTCTACGCGGTGCTGGCCCTGATGTTCGCGGCCTGCATGGGAGGACTGTTCATGACGCTGGACTACCGGACCCCCACCTACACCCTCGAGAAGTCACTCATAGGTATGCACCATAAACTCATTTATTTTTGCAAATAGGCTTTTAAAAAGCACTTTTACACGTCCCAGTATTAACCCTACCACTGCTTCGGGACAATAAATGGGCCAGTGCTGAGAAGAAGCGCGCAAGAAACTCAGTCACTATTGTCAGCCTCCTTTTAAAGGGTTTACAGTCTTGAAAATAATCTTCTTCATCATCATCTATTAATTACTTTAGAGTTCCTACGGCTGACCCCAAACATACAAGTGCTTACTCATTAAGCTCAATCCTCAGCTAGTATTTCAAACCGCCATGATTTTCTGCCATGAACTTAATAAATAAATAAATAAAATGCACGAAGAACATCGAATGAGACGTAGGAATGTCTATAAAAGCATTTCTCCGCGAAGTAATAGGCATTCGAGGGATATCTTCGTGCCCTAAGTAAGAATAGGTTTCAAACAAGAGTTCAACTATAACTTTTAGTTTAGGTGAGCAATTTTACGTAAATATTTTTAATTTTTCACTTCCCCTACATATTTTGAGCTTTGAGAGAGATATTCAAGCCATGTATTCATTATGCAACATTTGTAGATAAACTGTTTATGACTAGTATGAAACAAGTTTACCATAAACACAGGTTTCTGAAACTTGGTCGTCCACACTTGCTCGCCACTCATAGCGGAGCTAATAGGTGATAAACAATGTTTCATCACCTATGTTTACGGACTGTTTATAAACAGTGTTTATCAACAAATGTTGCCTTATGAATACATGGCTTAAGGCTTTAACCTTGTGTTTCAGGAAATAATCCAGGAGTAGCAGCGCGACCGCGACCGACAGATGGCGGCGCGGTCGTCCGGTACGACAGCGACAACTCAACGGGGGTCGATGCTTACGTCAAACAGCTAAATGAGTTCTTTGGGTGTAAGTACTTGTAATTCTTTTCAATAAGAATTGGTAGTCCACAACTTAGTCAAGATTAACTACTTAAACAATAAGTTAGATATTAGATACATAGCCAGCTCAAATGTGTACTTACGTAGATTTATTCCACACCATGATATTATCTGTAAAGAAACAAAACACTGTTAAAGTCCGTCACATTTGGCAAAAATAGCTCATTCATATAAAATACTAAAGAAAACAATAGATAACTAAGTACTTTTTTTTTGCAACTACGAACTACGACCACCTACGGTGCTACGAAGGGTCGTCGAGGTCTTTTCTATGTTGACCCAAATCCCTACGAGTTTTTTGTGTGCTACGAAATGTAGCTTTCTACAATTTTTGCATCTTTTTCTATACTACGAAAAAACTGAACGTCTACGAGTAATTTTAATGACCTTGAGTGCTTTGACTTTATTTATTTTTTCACTTGTCTGTGTATTGTTTTAATTAGAAAAACAATAGCATTTACAGACACCTAACAAGATTCGTAAGTACAACGCCGATTATCCGAATTAATTGGGACCGGGGTCGATTCGTATAATCGAAAATTCGGATAATCGGACATAGACTGGTAATAAAGAAAAAGCATGTTAAAAACGAACTGTCACACATAGAATAAACTTTAATAACTGTGTTTACAGTTCTATAATAACGCTCAGTTGAAATATATGTAGACTCCTGCGAGTTCCAACTTGTTACACCAATACAAAATAAAAATTACTTGGCTTTAATTTTTTATTTTACGCTTAGGATCGATTCGGATAATTGGCGATTCGGTTAATCGGCGTTCGGATAATCGGCGTCCTACTGTAGTTAATAATCAACTAAATTAACTACAAACAAACCAACAGCCAATAAATAGTTCTAGGTTGAAATCAAGGCGAACCAAGCCACATAAAACTGTCTGTACAAGAATGCAAAGCAGGCTGTCGGCCATAAAGACTAGCAGCAGTAGTTTTCCAGACTGCAGGGATCGATTGCGCTCAATCGCTACACAATGCACATCAAGCGTGACATGTGAGCCTTAAATGCGCTCTTATTTTGATCAATGCAAGGGCTATTTTCGCAGTTGTTGTGGTATACTCGATGTGGTCGTACGTCGCGCCTCACAATACATTTTATAGAGCTGTTGTGGCCGCACCCTGACCTGCCTTCGTCGCCTGAACCACAAACATATTGGAACTAGATTCTACACGTAATTGATACTTCATGATGTCACACACAGCTCGGTAATTAGAGAAAACTACAAGTAGGCTTAAATATACTAGGCTAGTGTTTGAACGCATTTGCTTTCTGTTGATCTACCTATGCACCAAATAGTCAATCAAGATGAATTATTTACTAGCGAGTATGCGTTTTCACGTTCGATTTAGCCTAGGCGTAGTCCCGATTTTAATTTGTATGAAGAATCAATCGGTGCAATGTGGCGTACGTCCATACATCTCCATACTGATTAACAGTCATCATCATAATTTTAGCCATAGGACGTCCACTGCTGAACATAGGTCTCCCCCAATGCTTCCCATGTTTATCGATTGGTAGCGGCCTGCGTCCAGCGCTTCCCTGCTACCTTTATGATGTCGTCGGTCCACCTTGTGGGTGAACGTCCCACTTGCGTGTTCCGTACTGATTAACAGTAGCCCGACCCAACTATCGGCCAACTAAAAGTTGGTGGTCTGCGCCTAGGCTTACGTACACATTTTGATTATTACTATTGTCATCATTTTGCATAATTAGGTAATACGTGTGCGAATATGTTGAATAGCAAGATAATTATAAAATGAATATTGTTACAGCGGTTCAACTGGAAAAAATGATTCCGTCGGAGGAGTGCACCGCCCAAGACAACTTCGGCTATCCTGACACACCCTGCATGTTCATCAAGCTCAATAAGGTTTGTTTGTATTTGCGAACTTTTGTATAAGATTTGAAAGGAAAACATATTTCTGAATCGTCTGTGCGTTTAAACTACCATAGAAAATTTGTCTAGACACACAAAAAAGCTCTAAAGAAGTTAACTTAGTAGTCTATCTCCCAAGTTACTGATGTTAATTAAAATGAGATTAAAGGGTTTGTTACGACGTTTCAGATCATAGGCTGGAAACCAGACTGCTACAACGACGCAGTCAACCTGCCCGCAGACATGCCTGAAGATCTGAAGGACTACATCAAGACTTTAGACTCTTCAAAGGTAAGGCTTTTAGTACTTAACATGATTGTTCCTACGACTCGTAAGAAGAGCAAATGCTTTATAAATGGTTACGTAGATTTGCTAAGCATGCGATGCAATTGATGATGCATGATGCAGATGTATATACATAGTCCCTCAAATTGCATAACAGGTCTATAATTTACTTGCATATTGCGCACTTATTACTTGGGAGGTATAATTTTGTGGTGGTGGATGCCCTGAAGAATGTTGAATACCAAAGTCTTCTGATGAATCTAATACCAATTTAATCAAATGAGATTAATGAACAAAATGTCTTAGTATGAATAGGTACCTATAATAATTTTACCTAACTACATATTTCTTCGTTTCTCTAGCTCAATCAGATATGGGTCTCGTGCTGGGAAGAGAAATCGAACACCACCAGCATAGAATACCCGTGGGGGCGAGGACTGTCTGCGGACCACTACCCGTATACCAACGAGGACGGCTACAAGAGCCCCGTGGTCGCAATCAAGTTGACTGCACCAGGTAATGATCAGATTTAGGGTACCTATGTAGGTTTCTAGCAATAACCATTGATTTATTTAGATGTTCATGAACATCAAAATAAGCTACGGTCTATGAACCGTGTAGAGTTTTTGTTTTTTAGATGTTAAAATAATATTTGAAAGGTAATTTGGGAACGTAGCAAAGCGTTCACGAAATTAAATCAAATAAAATCGATTAAGGCTTTGTTGCACCACCTAACTTTGACCGTAACTATAACGACAACCGGTGTTTTTGACAGATATTTGACGTTTGTCAAAGTTAAAGTAACATGGTGCAACCTAGCCTAATACTTGCATGTGACATCATAAGAGCTTCGTCAAACCCGAAGCCTTTGACGATATACCTAAAAAGGCCAACCAAAGTAAAGTGTAACAAATGAAAGTTACTTTTTAATTTTACAATTTTGAAAATCAAAAAACAACGTCTGTCACTTTAAACAACTGCTATTTCCAGTGAACACAGCCGTGGTGATTCGGTGCCGGGTGTGGGCAAAGAACGTGGTCTACAACAAGAGCCTCAAAGAGCCGTCGGGCTACACGCGCATACAGCTGTACATTGAAGACGGCGAAACCACAGAAGCGCCCGCAGCTGACAACTAAGCCAGCGATGGAAACGGGTTTTAACAATAGTGCGGTTCTTGCAACTCACCACTCATTAACTTTAGGTCCTTTTATAAATTTAGGTCGTGCGTTCCAGTTTAAAAAATCAAGAAACTCAGTGCGCATTCATGCAGACGGTGGTGCGTTTTACATGTGCCTATACGGGATGTACTTTACAGAATTTGGAATACAGTAGGTATATTACCTACGCAATCGCTGAATAAAAACGTATACGAAAAGTGTGAATGCGTATTTAATTGGAGATACCTACAATCTTGCATATCAACTCATGTGGCAAAATTCTTACATAGATATTTGAACATTTTTATTGTTGAAGTTTCGATATTTTGGTACGCAAATGATCACTAGAAGGAACTTATGTGTGTGTGGGTTTTATGATAAAATATCCAAAAATCAACAATAAAAAGTAGTTAAGTAAGTAATCTCAATATTCATTTAATATTTTTGAACATGAAAAGTTAAAACAGTTTAATGTAAGAATCAATTTTATTATAAATTGTAAGATGGGAGATGTAATGATCGAAAGAGTACAGTTTTGAATATGTTTGTCTGTACATAGTTTGTACTACGTATCATTTCTTTGTGAAATTATTGATATAAAATTTTATGAATGGAGAGCAGAATCTCTGAATAATATATTGAATGTCTTCATGATTTTTTTATTTATAATATGCATTTGTGAAAGTAGGGAGCTTTAGTTAGAAACTTACCTACAACAGTTTTATTTCTATATAAGCTTACTAAAACTTTAGAAAGGTTCTCTGGATCCAGAATGTTTGCAAGTGAGATATTAGGATAAGTATGAAATATTTTATCCCACCACTGAGCTAGTTTTAGAACTTAGATGTTAATTTAGTTGTACTTACACAAATGTCGGTTTATTAATTAAAAGAGCTTTAATATTTTGAATTGAAATATTGATCTTTTGTAATTTAGCCATTTTAGTTTGTTACAAATTAATAAAAATCTCGTGTGACGAAAATATTGTAATTGTTGAATTATTGAAGAAAAATATGTTTTCTATTTAATCAAAAATATTTTTTATATGCAATCCTGAAATTAGTGCCTTCTAAGAAGTAAAGTGTACATAATATTAAAGTAAACTGAATCTGTTTTATATCCGAACCTGAAATTAGTACAAATAATATGGTATGTACCTATTAGACATTGTTACATTAAAAATAAAATAAATGTTCAACTTAAGTGTCAATGTTTTATTACATCATATTTATTCATCCTAAAATTTTCATCTAAGATTCTGAAGAAATCCATAAAATAACTGATTTCATTGAATGAGTTCAATTGACTTATGGGGCAAATTGTGAAAGGTTGAAATATCCTTACGAAAGATGCCACAGGAAGCAACTGGTCTTTATAATTAAAATAAAAAGAAAGGTAGAACTTCCGGTCTCCTTCACACAAAATCCGGAATAGTTAGGGAACCATACTATTTCTCTTAATTGATAACTAACGTCTTAGGGGTGGAGTTTCGTAAAATCCGTTCTTAGTGAGCACCTACGTTCTAAATGGAACCCCTATGCAAAATTAGAGACTTCTAGCACTGAGTTTAGTATCTGAGATTTCGTGATGAGTGAGTGAGTCAGTCAGTCAGTCAATCAGTGACCTTTTGCTTTTATAAATATACATAGATGATACTCGTATCAAGTATCGTAAGTTAACATACTCTAATTGACAAATCTTCGAGGTAGAATTTAAAAAAAAAGTATTGTAACTGCATTACAATATTTTCATTAATTTTCACCTATTAGTAAGGATGATCTACCAATTACTTTAGTGGAGCAAAGACGGTTACGGCAAGGGCAAGGCCCGCCCGCCCTGGGCGTAGGGCGGTTAACGCTAGTTTTCGGCGGCTTTGAGGCTACCATCAAAGATTATAAGAAAGACAGGTGAGATAAACTAAGAGTTACTACTTCAATATTTTACCTAAAGATTTCATTCAAAAGGTACAGAAACTTTAGGAATGGTTTAATTAAAACTTTGCCGATTTGGTTTAAGGTGCCTTTAACATGGAGGGCAACCATGAAATAAATAAACAAACGTATTTTGTTTTTTTTTTTCTATTTCAATATTTTTAAAATTCCTAATATGTTGCGGAGAGAAATGATCATAGAATGTGAGATTTTTTTCTATAGGTAGATGTTGTAAGTTACTAAAACTGACTTTTATTATTATGAGCTCACTTGCGTAAATAATTTAATTAAAATGAATTTTGATATCGAGATTATGTAGTTACTAGTTAGTGCAAAACACTCGAGCCGGCCTCTCAGAGACAATTTACCGTAGGCAGTAAACGCAAACACAACACTAGTTTATTCTTCGTAACCACTGGTTGCGCTCAGTCCACCACCAGTCCCCGCTGAAGATGGGTGCCGACAAACCCAACGGAGTCGTCAACTACTGCCGAAGACCTCCTCAGAGACCGTTCCTCCAGAAAATCCAATATGCGATCTGGAATCCTGAGGAGAGAACNCTAATGTGTACTTACGAGTACGTAGCTTTATTCCACTCCATGATATCTGTAAAGAAACAAAACACTGTTAAAATCCGTTACATTTGGCAAACATAGTTCAATAAAATACTAAAAAAAAACAATTTTTTGCAACTACGAATTACGACCTCCTACGGTGCTACGAAGGGTCGCCGGTCGTCGAGGTCTTTTCTATTTTGACCCAAATCCCTACGAGTTTTTTGTGTGCTACGAAATGTAGCTTTCTACAATTTTTGCATCTTTTTCTATACTACGAAAAGAAATGTCTTCTACGAGCTTATCTACGAAAGTCTACGAATCATTATGTCCTTGAGTGCTTTGACTGTATTTATTTATCAACTGGCCTCTGAATTATTTGCGTTTATTTAGAAGCTACAGCTTTTACAGATACCTGCCTAACTCATATAGATAATCCACTAAAACCTATGTTCATCTTTATCAACCTTAAACAATCCAACAGCTAATAAATAGTACTAGATTCAAATCAAGGCAAACCTAGCCACATAAAACTGTCTGTACAAGAATGCAAAGCAGGCTGTCAGCCATAAAGACTAGCAGCAGTAGTTTTCCAGACTGCAGGGATCGATTGCGCTCAATCGCTACATAATGCACATCATGCGTGACACGTGAGCCTTAAACGCGCTCTTATTTTGATCAATGCAAGGACTATTTTCGCAGTTGAAGTGGTATACAGTATACTCGATGTGGTAGTACGTCGCGCCTCACAATACATTTTATAGAGCTGTTGTGGCCGCACCCTGACCTGCCTTCGTCGCCTGAACCACAAACATATTGGAACTAGATTCTACACGTAATTGATACTTCATGATGTCACACACAGCTCGGTAATTAGAGAAAACTAGAGGCTTAAATATAGCGGTGTTTGAACGCATTTGCGTTCTGTTGATCTACCTATGCACAAAATAGTCAATCAAGATGAATTATTTACTAGCGAGTATGCGTTTTCACGTTCGATTTAGCCTAGGCGTAGTCCCGATTTTAATTTGTATGAAGAATCAATCGGTGCAATATGGCGTACGTCCATACCTCTCCATGATGATTAACAGTCATCATCATCATTTCAGCCATAGGACGTCCACTGCTGAACATAGGCCTCCCCCAATGCTTTCGATGTTGATCGATTGGTAGCGGCCTGCGTCCAGCGCTTCCCTGCTACCTTTATGATGTCGTTGGTCCACCTTGTGGGTGAACGTCCCACTTGCGTGTTCCGTACTGATTAACAGTAGCCCGACCCAACTATCGGCCAACTAAAAGTCGGTGGTCTGCGTCTAGGCTTAGGTACACCTTTTTATTATTACTATTGTCATCATTTTGCATAATTACCTAGGTAGACGTGTACGATTATGTTGAACAGCAAAATAATATAAAATGAATATTGTTACAGCGGTTCAGCTTGCGAAAATGATTCCGTCGGAGGAGTGCACCGCCCAAGACAACTTCGGCTATCCTGACACTCCCTGCATGTTCATCAAGCTCAATAAGGTTTGTTTGTATTTGCGAACTTTTGTATAAGTTAAGTTTTTTAAGATTTCTAAATCGTCTGTGCGTTTAAACTACGTATGTATCGTAGACAATTGTCTATAGTCTGGTCCGTGAGCACGTAGAAATTTGTCCAATCACCCCAAGCTACCCATCCTTAACGCTCGCGCGTAATTATGTTGCTATCGCGCTCGCACACTCACTGCGGGTGCCAGTCGCACAGTCGCGACAGCAATATAATTACGCGCGAGAGATAAGGATGGGTATCTAGGGGTCATTGGACAAAATTCTACGTGCTCACGGACCAGGCTTTAGACACATACAAAAGCTCTAAACAAGTTAGTAGTCCATCTCCCAAGTTACTGAAATTATTAAAATGAGATTAAAGGGTTTGTTATGATGTTTCAGATCATAGGCTGGAAACCAGACTGCTACAACGACGCAGTCAATCTACCCGCAGACATGCCTGAAGATCTGAAGGACTACATCAAGACTTTAGACTCTTCAAAAGTAAGGATAAAGTAGTACTTAAAATTATTGTTCCTATGGCTCGTAAGAAGACCAAATAAATGCTTTATAAATGGTTAGGTAAATTTGCTAAGCATGGGATATTAAAAATTAAATGAATTTGAGGGACTAACGCCCGTTTTCATCATCAAACCCTATTTATTAAGAGACCCCTATGGTAACACATGACAGGAATTTTGTTTTCATAGGGGTCACTTAAAAATTAGGGATTGATGGTGAAAACAGGCATAATGTCTATAATTTACTTGCCTATTGCGCACTTATTGGGAGGTATAATTTTGTGGTGATGGATGCCCTAAAAAATGTTGAATACCAGTCTTCTGACGAATCTAGTACCAATTTAATCAAACGAGGTTATTTAAACAAAATATGTCTTAGTAGATGAATATTTATAATTTATATTTCTTTGTTTCTCCAGCTCAATCAGATATGGGTGTCATGTTGGGAAGAAAAGTCGAACACCACCAGCATAGAGTACCCGTGGGGGCGAGGACTGTCTGCAAACCACTACCCGTATACCAACGAGGACGGCTACCGGAGCCCTGTGGTCGCAATCAAGTTGACTGCACCAGGTAATGATCAGATTTAGGGTACCTAGCAATAGGTTTCTAGCAATCATCATCAACAGCCCTTTACAGTCCACTGCTGGACTATGAGCCTCCTCCACTATAGTGGAGGGTTTTGCCATAATCTCCACGCTAGGCAGGCGGGTTGGAGATCGCAGTAACTAACAATAACAATTTCTAGTTTCTAGCAATAACCATATTGATTTATTTAGATGTTCATGAACATCAAAATAAGCAACGGTCTATGGACCGTGTAGAGTTTCTGTTTTTTAGATGTTAAAATAATATTAGAAAGGTAATTTGGGAACGTAGCAAAGCGTTCACGAAATTAAATCAAATAAAATCGATTAACGCTTTGTTGCACCACCTAACTTTGACCGTAACTATAACGATGACCGGTGTTTTTGACAGATTTTTGACTTTTGTCAAAGTTAAAGTAACATGGTGCAACCTAGCCTAATAGGTACTTGCATGTGACATCATAAGAGCTTCGTCCAATCCGAAGCCTTTGGCGATAAAAAGGCCAACCAAAGTAAAGTGTAACAAATGAAAGTTACTTTTTAATTTTACAATTTTGAAAATCAAAAAACAACGTCTGTCACTTTAAACAACTGCTATTTCCAGTGAACACAGCCGTGGTGGTTCGGTGCCGGGTGTGGGCGAAGAACGTGGTCTACAAGAAGAGCCTCAAAGAGCCGTCGGGCTACACGCGCATCCAGCTGTACATTGAAGACGGCGAGACCACAGAAGCGCCCGCAGCCGACAACTAAGCCAGCAATGGAAACGGGTTTTAACAATAGTGCGGTTCTTGCAACTCACCACTCATTAAACTTTAGGGATTCTTATAAGTTAGGTCGTTCGTTCCAGTTTAAAAAATCAACAAACTCAGTGCGCATTCATATAGGACGGTGGTCCGTTTTACATGTACAGGCTGTACTTTACAGAATTTGGAATACAGTAGGTATATTACCTACGCAATCGCTGAATAAAAACGTATACGATAAAGTGTGAATGCGTATTTATGTGGAGATACCTACAATCTTGCACAGCACATGAGTTGCAAAAATCTTAATAGAGATTTGAACATTTTTATTGTTGAAGTTTCGATAATTTTGTACGGAAATGATCACTAGAAGGAACTTATGTGTGTGTGGGTTTTATGATAAAATATCCAAAAATCAACAATAAAAAGTAGTTAAGGAAGTAATCTCAATATTCGTTTAATGTTTTTGAACATAAAAAGTTAAAACAGTTTAATGCATGAATCAATTATAAATTGTAAGATGGGAGATGTAATGATCGAAAGAGTACAGTTTTGAATATGTTTGTCTGTACATAGTATGTACTACGTATCATTTCTTTGTCAAATTATTGATATTAAATTTTATGAATGGAGAGCAGAATCTCTGAAAAATATATTGAATGTCTTCATGATTTTTTTATTTATAATATGCATTTGTGAAAATAGGGAGCTTTAGTTAGAAACTTACCTACAACAGTTTTATTTCTATATAAGCTTACTAAAACTTTAGAAAGGTTCTCTGGATCTAGAATTTTTGCAAGTGAGACAATTAGGATAAGTATGAAATATTTTATCCCACCACTGAGCTAGTTTTAGAACATAGATGTTAATTTAGTTGTACTTACACAAATGTCGGTTTATTAATTAAAAGAGCTTTAATATTTTGAATTGAAATATTGATCTTTTGTAATTTAGCCATTTTAGTTTGTTAAAAATTAATAAAAATATCGTGTGACGAAAATATTGTAATTGTTGAATTATTGAAGAAAAATATGTTTTCTATTTAATCAAAAATAATTTTTATATGTAATCCTGAAATTAGTGCCTTCTAAGAAGTAAAGTGTAATAATATTAAAGTAAACTGAATCTGTTTTATATCCGAACCTGAAATTAGTACAAATAATGAAATATGGTATGTACCTATTAGACATTGTTACATTAAAAATAAAATAAATGTTCAACTTAAGTGTCAATGTTTTATTACATCATATTTATTCATCCTAAAATTTTCATCTAAGATTCTGAGGAAATCCATAAAATAACTGATTTCATTGAATGAGTTCAATTGACTTATGGGGCAAATTGTGAAAGGTTGAAATATCCTTACGAAAGATGCCACAGGAAGCAACTGGTCTTTATAATTAAAATAAAAAGAAAGGTAGAACTTCCGGTCTCCTTCACACAAAATCCGGAATAGTTAGGGAACCATACTATTTCTCTTAATTATTATTGATAACTAACGTCTTAGGGGTGGAGTTTCGTAAAATCCGTTCTTAGTGAGCACCTACGTTCTAAATGGAACACCTATGCAAAATTAGAGACTTCTAGCACTGAGTTTAGTATCTGAGATTTCGTGATGAGTGAGTGAGTCAGTCAGTCAGTCAATCAGTGACCTTTTGCTTTTATAAATATACATAGATGATACTCGTATCAAGTATCGTAAGTTAACATACTCTAATTGACAAATCTTCGAGGTAGAATTAAAAAAAAAATATTGTAACTGCATTACAATATTTTCATTAATTTTCACCTATTAGTAAGGATGATCTACCAATTACTTTAGTGGAGCAAAGACGGTTACGGCAAGGGCAAGGCCCGCCCGCCCTGGGCGTAGGGCGGTTAACGCTAGTTTTCGGCGGCTTTGAGGCTACCATCAAAGATTATAAGAAAGACAGGTGAGATAAACTAAGAGTTACTACTTCAATACTTTACCTAAAGATTTCATTCAAAAGGTATAGAAACTTCAGGAAGTATGGTTTAATCAAAACTTTGCCCATTTGCCTAAAGGTGGAGGGCAAGTGTAGAGCGTACCTAATGTGAACCATGAAATAAATAAACAATTAATGTATTTTGTTCTTTTTTCTATTTCAATATTTTTAGATTCCTTTAAAAATATGTTGCGGTCAAAGAATGTGAGATTTCTTTCTTCAGGTTGTAAGTTACTGTAAACTGTTTATCGTTATGAGCTTACTTGTAAATAATTTAATTATAATGCATTTTGATATCTAGACAGTCCAAAACACTTGTTACTCTCGATTTGGCCTCTCAGAGACAATTTATCGTAGGCAGTAAACGCAAACACAAAACTAGTTTACTCATTGTAACCACTGGTTGCGCTCAGTCCACCACCAGTCCCCGCTGAAGATGGGTGCCGACAAACCCAACGGAGTCGTAAACTACTGCCGAAGACCTCCTCAGAGACCGTTCCTCCAGAAAATCCAGTATGCGATCTGGAATCCTGAGGAGAGAACCTTCCTTGGCAGAACTCCTAAGAGATGGGGTGAGTAGACTGTTTGAATCTTATTTTGATGGTAAATGGTTGGTATAATTGAAGATTGATTAATTACTTTAGGATAGTGATTGTTTGGGAAGGTAAAGTTATTAGGTACGTCACTTTAATTACTTTTGAATTGAACATGAAAATGCTTTCAAATATAATAACAAAAATGTGAAATTCCACATCTTAATCTATCGAGTTCATACACTGACAATAAGCATAATGTAAAGAAATGGTTTATGAATTTAGGAGCGAAGTGTTAATAGGTAGACCAAACAGATGTACGAATTTAAAGAGATTTTTCGCCACTGAAAATCTTATTAAGCAGATTCTAGAACCTTAATTTTACCCATAGGAAATTAGATTGTNCCTTAAGAACTACTTTTCTTTTAATAGTCTTCGAATCTTTGGACTAAGATATTTTAGATTTTCCAAAGCTTTCGCTTTAAGCTGCAAACTCTAACCAATTGCAAGTAACGTTTTTATCTTTTCAGTTACATTTCCCAATAATTATTTTCCCAGACACATCAAAGAGAAACTACGAGCTATTCCAATGCTCCTGAAACTTTACAGCACGATACAGGGATCCCATAAATCTAATATTGTACGCACTTACTGAAAGCAACGCATTACCCATTTTATACGGTGCACGCCGGTGATTCACTAACTATGCTATTTCTAAACATATTCCATCATAACTGTTGTGGAAATTATATGTAGCTCTGAAAATGGATTCAGGATGTAAAAATAATGATATTCCCAAGTAAAATGGCTTCTTTCACTATTCTAAATTGATTATTATCAAGAGTCATTATAAACTTTTTGTGTTGCCGTTCTTCCAAGCCATTTAATTATCACCTTTTACGTCGATATATCGTGTAGGTATAATGTGTAACTGTCAGCTCTACATTGGGCACTATGAAATGACCCTTTATACCGGGAATACTGATCGTAAAGGCTAAACTGAAGCAGTAATACTGGTAATACTTAGTTCTGATTACCAGTGATTTAATTCTGTTTTGTTCAAATCCGATAGCTAACTTGGTTTATTACTTCTTTTAGCTTCAATACCACTACTCTAGATCACCGGAAAACCTCTCCCATTCACATTCCCTTTTAGTCAGTTTAAAATATTGCCATAATACGTCATGCAATAAACTTTACGCGCTCGCAAATAGTCGACCTCGGCAACAGGCTGACTGTGGTCGTGCCTATGTTTGTGCCTAGATATAGTAGGATGGCAGGGCGGGGTGGAACTGCTAATGACCGGTTCTCCACCCTTGGTCAGTACCTACGTGTTGTTTGTAATACACTTAACTGAACCTCATTATTACGTGTCACGATATTCTACACTCGGATACGAAGATACACTTAATTAAGTTATGAAATGGTCTAATTGGTTTTCTTCGGCGATGGATTAGTGGTAGAAAAGTTGCAATTAAGCTATTAAAGCGCTTTTACGCCTTCCAGTATAATATTAGCCATACTATCCATTACTTTGGGACAATAATTGTGGCCTGATGCTAAGACAAGTCTACTTTTTCAAACCATGCGATCACCGATGACATCTTTATTAATATCTATAACGCTGTTTATTTCTTTTGCACTAACGTAACTTAGGCAGTTACCTACTGAATTCTGAAATGTTGAATAGAGTGAAAAAGAGAGTCACCACTAGGCCTCGCTTTTTCATTTATTATTTTTGGACAGTTTAGATGTCGTCATCTATCCAAATTCATGTAAGAGTGTCCAACTTTACCATTAGTGTACTATGTTTCCGAGATTGCGACCAACGAACCAACCGCATTTGTTACTGGTTTAAATTGTTACATTTGGTAGAAGCGACTGTTTCCAACACTACGGTGGGAGTCTCGTCGAAATAGAGCCTGAGGGCTGAGTGTGTGTTTACATCAAGACGTGAGCGCGTAAAAATGACGGATTCTACAGCACCCCTAGCGGAAATGTTCAAGAACTAAAATTTTCATAAATTTTTAATGCGCTCACTAATGAGGACGTTTGGTGTAAACTCACACTCAGCCCACTGATCCTATTTTGTTTTGTCTCGTTTCTGTCAAATGAGCTTTTCTCTCCAAATTAAAAGTGGACCGCAGTTTGCCGTGGACCTAAGCGCACACAGTCACGGTGTGTAAGCCAGTGCTATTTCGGCGAATCCATTCGCGCGCTTTACTGTTTGTTTGTTTATGCCATGTACCTACATACTCCATCATAGACCGTGACCTGGAATTGTGGATTTGGAAGTCTCAAATCTATAAAATATTTGGGATGAGGAAGCTATATTTATTCTGATTGAAATTCGATATTTTTGCAAGATGTTGCTAGCCGACTTGACCTCAAGTCTAGGGTTTAAGTCTCGCGAATTAAAAAAATGGTTCATCTGTTTGAACTTTGCTCTGGCAAACGAAAGGTGACTATTTGAGCACCGATGTAGGCCCGAAGTGGTGGACATGTGCCCTGAAAAGGGCTACTAATAAAGAATTAGAATTAGAATGCTCCTGAACTTTGCAGCGAGATTACACTTTTATGCTTAAAAATGACATTGTGGACTAGTAGCATAGCCTTAAACAGGGTTCAAATTACCACTGGCCACATAGAACAATATTATTAAGCCACACACAGCAATCGTTGTGGTCTATTTAGCGCCAGCTGCGCGCGCGCAGTGTCGTGTTTGCGCTTTATATGAGGCGATAATAGCACTATGATGTGGATAATTTACTTATTGACGGCTGTTTGTTAGTGAAATAAACACTTTGTGAAGATAATACAGGCATGTTATGGAATGTTTCCTTTTATTATATGAATAACTAGCGGCCTCCCGCGACTTCGCACGCGTGGATGTCGTTTTACCCTCTTAGAGGTGGAGTTTCGTAAAATCCATTCTTATCGGATGTCTAGGTACACCCTATATTATTAACCTACCTGTAGCGGTGCTGTTTTGTTTTTCATATAAAAGAAACGTTTATGTAGTAATGGAAAATGCAAATTTTCATTAATTTCATCAGCATCACAACTTAGCATGCTAAATGCTATAGCAATGTTAATATGAAATTTCAAAGAACATGAAAAATGCTAATCAAATGAAATTGCGAAATAGTTAATGCTTTGTGCTTTTTATAATACGCTAACCATGAATTTCGCAACTATTTAATTATTGCTAATTAATTATGATTTCGCAAGCTAATGATTAATGCTAATTAATCCATTACAAATTATCATACTAACGAGAACGTTATTTGTTCGTAAGGGCATCTCGTCCAGTCACAAAATAAGTGTCAAACAAGGAAGACATAGATGAAATAACTTGTTCCAGGTGTAATAGGGCTCATATACCTGGTGATGTATATCTGCATCATCATCTTCTTCTCCATCTGCATGTGTGGGCTGCTGGCCACCATGGACGACCGGATCCCATACTTCACACTCGCCGACTCCATCATCGGTAAGAGAAAGCACAATTAACGAATCACGTTTAGCAGTAAAGGTTACTAATAATTTTATTATTGCCTTCAGTAACTACTCATACAGAAATAAGACTAAAGCCTGACGCGGTTTTTGACGAAAAAGTACTTAACTGACAACAACATTCTGAAAAGACTGACTAGGTACCCGTCTTTTTTAATTTAAAAAAACCTAACCTAAAAATGTAAAATGATTTTAATTAATTACCTTCCGTTCAGTCACAGAATAAGTAATAGTACCATGGTTCAGTGTATTTATTCCAAGACACTGTTAGGTTTCAAGTTGTAAATTAATAGCACATTATTAAAAAACATTTAAATTATTATTTTAATACTTGGCTGCCCAAAAACATGGCACCATTTTGAAATAAACACATAGTGCGCGGCTAAGTTCACACCGCTTGTAAATTCAGCAACTTCAGGTTGAAAAAAAATATAGCTAGAATGATGAAAAGAATGAAAATAAAAAAAATATTAAAAAAAAACTTTTTGTGTTCTTGTTTCTAATAATTTTTATTCTATTTTGATATTTCCAGGCAATAACCCAGGCATGGGCCACAGACCGCTGCTCTTCGAAGAGGGAGCGCTGATCTGGTACGACCAGTCCAACTCCACGCAGGTGAAGAAGTATGTCGACAATATCAACGAGTTCCTTGCGCGTGAGTATTGTATATCGTCTATTTTAAGAGGACTAAGGTAGATAAAGAAAAGCAAAGTTTAGCAAAGTATTAAACCAGGCCAAGTCTGCCTCCTCCATGATTTTATGTGTTGGTTTAATGAGGGCTATCGTTTTCATACTTAACAGTTGGCACCCCTGGCGATTGACAGGAACTTACACTTACTTAAAAAAAAAAAAAAAGTATATAAGTAGTATATCCGTTAAGCTAGCACCCATAACACAAGCATTAAGTTGCTTACTTTGGGGCTAGCTGGCGCTGTGTGAAATTGTCCAAAGATTAAAAAAAAAAATAAATACAAAAGTTTAACATCGAAAAACACGAGTTAACTAACAAAAATATATATATATTTAAAATATATATATTTACTCTACAGTGGCGCCATCTTGATGAGTGCAAATGCGATAGTCCTCCTATCACTTTAGCGCTCACCAGTTGGTGCCACTGTTTTCGCTACTAGCAAGTGACAGGACCTTACTCTACAGTGGCGCTAACTGGTGAAACGATAGCCCTCATTGTTTAAATCTGTGTTAGAGCAAATTATTAGTGGGGAGTGGAGGCCAAATCTCTATTTGCTTCTATGAAGAGAGCGGTGCTCGCAGTGGTGCCTGCCTGACCTGATGATAAATGATGACCATGACTATCTCTCTCGGACATCTGTCACTTGATTTGTCCCTTGTTTGTAGGTAGGTCGAAAGTTACGTTGATACTATAAAATATTCTTGTTTATCTTCCAGCATACCGCAACAAAAGCCTGCTCATCAACCAGGGTGTGAACCAGCGCGAGTGTGGCGCCATGAAGCCTCCGCGGGAAGAGGTGTGCGCCTTCGACGTGGTCAACCAGTTCGGGCCCTGCACCAAGGAGAACAACTACGGCTTCGACCAAGGGACTCCGTGCATCATCATCAAGCTTAACAGGGTGAGGGGCAGCTAAACAAATGTAGTTACAAAACCTTACTTAATATGAGATTACTTATTTCGCAGAGAATTAGGTATGTGAGGTTCTCCCTTCTAGAAAGGTGGAGCCCACTCATTTTGACCTCTTAAAAGTCCAGCTAGAGCCGATAGATTAACTCACGTTTCGTCAACGGCTCGTGCCTTAGGGCATAGGTACGATATTGCAGCGTGTAGATCCAGTCAGGGCATCAGCTGCAACTATCCTATAGTAGCGCGAATGTTCGTATGTTGTGCCCAACCCCTAGTTTAGACCTCACAACGATGAAGGAGCGCCCACTTTAGGTTACTGAGGCATCAAACAACAAAATTGAAAAATAATTCTTAACTAATCATAATATGTTTTTTCAGTTATATGACTGGAAACCAATCTTCTACGACGATCCCGGGGATTTGCCGCAGAACATGCCTCCTTACATCAAAAACTTCATCAATAACACAACGCCAGAACGAGTAAGTTTATTTACCGCTTTTTCCGAATTATTTTCTTTTATAAAACTGTATTATGTTACTGATAAGGAAAAAGGTCACTTTTATACATTCAACAATTAATACATTGTTAAAAAAATAATATGAAATCATATTCCAGCGCCGCAGCGTGTGGCTGACGTGTATGGGGGAGAGACCTGCGGACGTGGAAGCCCTGGGTCCTCTGAAGTACTACCCGTACCCAGGGGTCCCTGAGGTGTTCTTCCCGTATGACAACACCCCTGGCTACCTGAGCCCGCTGGTCGCTGTACAGCTGGAGAAGCCAGCGTGTAAGTATCACAGCATGAATAGTAACTTTTCACTTTAAACATTCATTTCTAGAAGCGTTTCATTGCACCCAAACGACGTCCACTAAAAACTTTCATAAAATAATTTAAAAGCTTCCCCCAAGAATTTCCACATCGGTTGTGCTGTCCGTATCTCAGGATTTGTAACATAGTTTTTCTTACTATTTAAAATAATACATGACTTTGTGTAGTTCGTGTAATATTTTTCGACTCATTCTTCAAAACATAGGTGACGCGCAAATCTTCTATACTTATACCTAATAAATCTGTAGAGAGGTCAATTCTGTACATGAAATATATTTTCAAAATAACTATCAAGGGGTGATTAGTGATCGATACTGATGCCAAAAATGCAATCAGTAAATTTTTTGTCTGTCTGTCTGTATGTTCCTTATAGAAACAAAAACTACTCGACGGATTTTAACGAAACGTGGTACAATTATTCTTCATACTCCTAGGCAGGTTATAGTATACTTAGGAATTCCCACGGGAACGGGAATTAGCGCAAAATCCTTTTGTATGAAAAATCTAAACCGCTTAAGTTAGACGCTTGAAATTTGGTATGCAGATAACTTAGTAAATTTAAAGCTTAGTTACAACAGGATATTGCAAAATTCACGGGAACGAGAGTTAGCGGGAAAAAATATTTGTATGAAAAAATCTAAACCGCGTAAGATAGATGAAGGAGGTAAAACGGGATCCACGCGTACGAAGTCGCGGGCGGCCGCTAGTATGTTAGCTTTCAGACGCGTCAGTACAAGACACGTGACTGGCACAAGACTTGTTTACATGTTTACTAAAACGAACGTACTGGCAAAGCTCTTACATGTTTTATATTTTTATTACGGCGTATTTCCAATGTTTCAGTGGGGCAGATAATAAACATCCGCTGCAGGGCGTGGGCGAAGAACATCGTCTACACCGAGAGCCTTAAGGAGCGGCTCGGATCCACCCACCTAGAAATCATGATCGATAAAACTCCAGAACCGGTGAACATTACCACCGTTTAGGAAGAACTCTCTTACATTTTATATTATAATAGACAGAAAATAAAATCCTAACACAAAGCCACTTTCCGGGAAAATTCGGAAAACTTTTTTTAGATAATGTTTAAGTATAATTTTGAACAGTTTTGGAAGTGCGTCAATAGGCCGTACAGCCAAACGAATGGACCTAAGTACTTAATAGATTAAGGGCTATTTCACCACTAAAATCCATGGGTTTTACAACTTTAGGTTAAGATATCTGACACATGAGCGAAAGTATGTAAAACTTTTTCAGGAATCGTGAGAATACGCCCTTAGTTTTTAGATCTAGTCACATTGAATTAAGAAGTGAATATGAAATGCTTAGATACTATTAGTAATGGGATACATTTATATCCCTATAGCACTTTTAGGCCTATGATTAAAATGCAACTTTCACATATTTTTATATTGAAACTTACATTTCTACGAATATGAATAACATAAAACCATACCATGTTAACCAAATGATGACATATCAGTGATAATGTTTACATTAACCTAAGTAAATGAAAGACTAATGAAAAATAAACACTACCTATTAGGGAAGAAATGTTGAAAGTCAAAATGTATTAAAAACTATTGTGCTTTGTAATACGAGGTGTTTGTGTTGTAAAAGGTGAATGAATAAATCATTGTTGATCAATGAAAATTCGAGTTTCAATTGACGATATTTTCATGAATGATAACAATGTTGAAATAAATAAACAAGTATTTTCTTACTAAATTTAATCATTCCTTTCATAATAATTTACAAGGTAATCTCACTCTTGAAAACATTAATTCCACATTCATAAAATAATTTAATACTTAACCCTTTGAAAGGCATTTTCAAGTTTATCAAATACTTACCTGCCTGAAACAAACTTGTTCTTTGGTACGGAATTAACCTTTGGTAACAATGCCTTTGTTCTTTGGACTATTACGTCATTAAGCAGCATAATAAAACAATGTAGAAGGTACATTGGGAAGTACATTTCGTTTAGGTTTTGTACTTCCATCCATGTTACTTCCCTATGAATCCACTTTGCATCTGCTCTACTGCACCCATGGACAATTAATTTTTAAATATGATAGAAAAAAACATAGAGTAGAGCTACATTAATAAACATCACACGGTTTTGAGTATAAAAGGCTCTGTCATTTCTACATCCGGCTGAAATTCAGCATTCGATCAGTCTTCGTTGATACTATTCTGGATTTCTCGTAGAATATTTTAAGTTCATCTATAAAAAGGGCTGCTAGAAAGCTACGAAAAACAATGGAAACAATTTCGCCATGTACAATTTCGGTTCCATCTCTCTGCTACGTCACCTCGGACTAAGTGTAAAACAGCAGTGTCTTTATAAGCTAGTCTCCGGGTGCAGGTCTGTCGGGCTAGGGTGCACGTGACGATAAAATCTTAACGATGGTCTTAGACGACAAACGCCTACAATGCTAGGCTATGATGCGCGTGACGATAATATAATGTTTACTTTACACGACAAGTCGCTGACATAGCCCGACGGATTAGCAAGCTGAAGTGGCAATGGGCATACGCAGAACTGACGGCCGATGTGACAGCAAGGTTCTGGAATGGAGGCCGCGTACCGGCAAACGCAGCGTGAGACGACCACCCACAAGGTGGACCGACGACATCATAAAGGTAGTAGGAAAGCGCTGGACGCAGGCCGCTACCAACCGGGTAACATGGAAAGCATTGGGGGAGGCCGGTAGGCCTATGTTCAGCAGTGGACGTCCTATGGCTGAGATGATGATGATGATGATGATGATTACACGACAAGCGTCTATCGTCTAAAATCGATAAGACCTCGATAAGATTTTATCGTATCGCATCCTACTCCGGTGATGGTCTACTCGATCATGATCTCGATGTGGACGGTGCCCATGCCCTCGTGGCGGTCGTACATGATGTTGTGCGCCCACGCGCGGCACTCCATGTTGATCAGCATGCCCGCTGGAATACAGAACAGTTAAGTTTAAAGAATTTTATTTATATAAACGTGTAAATAAATTAATGTGCGTCTTACAAATCGAAGGTGTCATAACGAAAGCGACATGTGAAGTCATGAGAAGAAATTTTAGTTCACAGAAATGTAAGTTTTAAAGTTTCAGTACTGTGTAGGTATGCATTTTGAGAGTTTGCTTTAATAGTTGGATCTAAATTAATAGTCAAATTATTGTCGACTCTATCCGACAAAGAAAGATGCTGTGTATATTTACGCTAGACTAATTATTTAACACAAACATGTAGTAAAAATTAATGAATGCCTTTCCTTTAATCCGTTTCATATGGCTTCTGAAATTGTAATATTAAGTAATGAGTGGACACCGAGAATGGAGTAGTGAAGAAAGTGTGTTGTAAACAAACAAAAATACAGTGGTACGGTAGGTATAAGTGTACTCACTCTTAGGCCTCTGCAAATGCACTGCGACCAGCGGGCTGAGGTAGCCCTCCTGGTTGGTGTAGGGGAAGTAGTAGCCGGGGAAACCCCGGTAGGGCATGTACGTGATGGGCCCGATGTTCTCCCGGTCGGCCGGGTTCTCGCCCAGGCACGATACCCACACCATGTTCAACTGGAAAGAACAAGACAGTCTTTTAAACTTCTTGATAAATCTTTGCACGAGAATCCACTAGTATTTAATTATTTAGCTTAGCCAAACAATGGGCTTGTCGATAGATACTCGTATTAGATAAAATTCCGAAAGCATACACTAAATCTTCTTAGCATTTACGCTTTTGGCACTTGAACACACAAAGCAAGCAAATATCTTTTTTCAAATTCAAATGGTTTATTGCATGTCACATTACAAATAAGTAGTGGTGTGAAAATCTTGGAAAATTATTGCTAAAATCTTTAGCGAGAAACTGTAGTCAACCTACATAGGTAATTATTTAAAGTCTGTTTCTCACGCAAACACAAATGTACCCAAAAGTAAAAGAGGAGTAGGCTTTACAAAATGCCCATTTGTCGCGGATTGAGGACTCTAATAGCCTTAAATTAAGATCTACTTACATAATTCTTATCATACGCCGTCATATTCCTGATGTGCTCCTTCAGGTCATCAGGCATGTCGACGGGCAAGCTGTCGGAGCTGTTATAGTAGTGGGGCTTCCACCCGAAGATCTTGTTCAGCTTCAAGAAGATGCAGGGCGTGGACTTGTGGTAGGCGAAGTTGTTGTCCTCAACACAAGGGCCCCAGGCGCTGATGTCCACGTCACACACCTTACCCGCTGGAGGAGGCAGTTTGAAGTCACAGTTGTGGATGTTCTGACCAGCTCCAGCTTTTTTGCCGTCACGTTTGTAGGCTGCGAGAGACATCGACTTAGTAAAAAAATGGAAAAAGTAAAAAAATAGGAACAACCATGATTCATGGTTTTAGTGGTCTGATTCATGACAGAGTAGTTTTTATTTCATTGCATAGGTGTACTGAACTATTTAATCATGAAACATTGGGTGTAGGCGTTATAATAAGGAAGCAGCTATAAAAATGTGATTGCCTTAGTCAGGACTCTAATTTAGCAAACTCAATTTTTATCAGTTTAAATGATAGGTATTTTATGTAAATACCTATCGCAATGCAGCTCACTCATATGAAGCCATAAAGAAAAACAAATCACATTTTGCTATAATTTGATGATAACAATGACAATATGATTTAAAAATGCACGAATTTGATGCTGCTCCAAATTAAGGAATCGAATTCTACGAAAATTAACCTAAATGAACTTTTGCCCCCCTGGTCAAGTTGCACTTTTTGATCGAATCGAAAATCGAATCTGTCATAACTCCTTATAACCATTTTTCGACTGGTTTGCGATTATAATGTGCACTTTGTCTAGACCCACTGAGCTATGAGAAAGTTTAATTATGTTAAGAGCAAATGCTCACCAGTCAAGAACTTGGACATCTGCTTCACCCAGAACTGGTGGCTGCCGGGGTCATTTCCCTTGTACCAGATGACGCTGCTAGCAACCTCTGGCGGCGTGGGCCTGAAGCCCAGCCCTGGGTTGGTGCCGATGATGCTGCTCTCAAGCTGCCACATAGGCTTCCGCGCGTCCAGAAGCTGAAGAAAGGTCCACATGCAGATTGCCACGAGGATCGCCAGCGCCATGTAGAAGATGAAGTAGAATAAGGCTATTTTGGCTGTGGAAGAAAGGAAAAGTTTTATTTTTAGAAACTTTAAATTGAAATACTCGTATCATACTGAATGATATTCGTAAATATTATACTGAATGATACTCGTAAACGTACCAATCATGTTACAGTCAAAAGTCATAACTGGCCGAAACCAGTTTTGACTGCAAAAATCAGGCCAAAAGTGGTTCGGACCGATGTTAAAACCACTTTTGGCTGATTTTAGCTATCAAAACTGTTTGACTAAGGGTATCGGTCAAAACCACTTTTAACACACAAATCCATGAAGATTAGTTGCTAATTTGTCTAAGTTAAACAGGGTCTGTCTATTAGTAGGTAAACACATTTTATAGACAACTAGCGGCCGCCCGCGACTTCGTACGCGTGGATCCCGTTTTACCCCCTTAGGGGTAGAGTTTCGTAAAATCCTTTCTTAGCGGATGCCTAAGTCATAACATCTACCTGCATGCCAAAAGCATGAACCGTCCATTGGTTAGGGCTGTGCGTTGATAGATCACTCAATGTCAGTCAGTCAATCAGTCAGTCAGTCAGTCAGTCACCTTTGAGATATACGTATTAAGATTAAAAACATTGAAGTTGTTTGACGTTACTGACCATGCTTAGTGAGTGACTCTACTCTTTGAAGAATTAGGTTTTACAATCGTTCTACATTGTCAAAGTACATTTTCTCGTTCTTTTGGGTCTCCAATTGGCTAGACCCTGAGCCGTCCGGTCGTGGCCGCTCGCGCAGGAAGCCCGTAATGCGCTCATTGCGACAATTGCCCGAGCTTCCGCCCAGCTCCTTCTGATTTACTCGCGACTCGTTACTGACTTAGAGTATTTGGGGCAAAGATTATGGAACTTGATGGTCTACTTATTTGCCTAAAAATATGTAGGATTTGTGGATGAATTCTTGAGTATTTAGCGGATAAAGTAAAAAGTTTAAGACTTTTAAGTGGACATTATTTGTGATAAGTTTTTCTTGGATTTCCGAGTTTTTAAGCGATTTCTTTGAATCGGGGAATGTGAAGCGAGTCACAATTTAGTAAAAATTGTTGACGTTATAAAGAGGATCAATTTCGTTAACGTGAGTTAAATAATAAAACCACCGAAATTACAAGAAAATCTGGCCACTTTTATAAATCATAGCCTAATATTTGATGAAAGTTTAGTTTCATAAAGATCGAAGAACTTAGTTATGACCTAAGATTATGACATGAAACAGCGTATTTCCAAATAAGTAACTAATCATTTTCACAAACTTTCCAGACTCAAGAGCTTATCGTAACGTGAGGAATTTGAAAGTTTTATAATATCAGTGCTAGTTTATAGTCCATTTACCTTCATAGCTACAGTGAACAGTTCATTTATAAGTACTGGACAAAGATGTAAATTATTATGTGCATAATACGAAAATTACATTTCACCAAAAAGTTTTTGGTAACAAAGGTAAAATAACTGACTTACACCAGCTAGCTCCGGTCCTCCCGCAGAACTGCCTTGTCTTCGGGTTCCATATGAACCTCCTGAACTTCTCCCCAGCCGTCAGAGGGTCCTCCTTCTCCTTGTAGTAGAGGTTGAACCTCTCCAAGCTCGTCAGGTCGGAAGGCCGCTTCTTCACGGTCATCTTCTTGACTAGATTTCGCTTTTGGCTCTACAATTAAATGTAAATCAAATGAGGCGATATTTCCATTTATGGCAACTTTACAATGACAGTAAGGTAAAACAAGCGAAGAAGACGTAGGCTGAGTTGTACCACCTAGCTTTGACCGTAGCTATAACGGTAACCGGTGCTTTTTGTATGGAGTTTACAGATTTTTGACGTTTGTCAAAGTTAAAGTAAGAAGGTGCAACTCAGCCTTAATGACGCGTTTTAGAAATACATTGTGTGTGAATTTATTAACATAGATCAAAGGAGAGAACATAATACAAGGAATTGGACGATAAAGAGCGAATTTTCTAGCAATATTTGTTTCTTATAAGAAGGAAGGGTATCCTTCTTCTCAGAAAGGGTTCCACGGTCTATGACAACAATGACAAGTGCACATCGACAAAATTGAATTAAAAAAATTGTAGTTAGAAGGACACGGAAAAATAGAAGACTCCAGTACACAGATTTCGGTTCATAGAGTCGAACAAAAGGGGTTCATTTCCTATACAATAATAGAAAAAGAAACATAAGCACATTAGACACATAAAAATTTAAAGTTTTTCCATAAAATGAGAATCCCAGCTCACCTGTGTCCCGGGCGAGGCGCGCGTGAGAGAGTACCGCGCGGCGACTGCGCCGGCGCAGCCAGCGGCCCGCGCTCAGGATAATGGGACGGCGTCATGCAGTACAGGCAATTCATATAGATTTTGATTGTATTTCTGTACTTGACTCTACCTACGAGGTGAGCATTTTTACCCCGTTTGTACCTACCGTTGTTACCTACTTTGCTAGTTTAAAGGATTTTCAAAAGTTCTCTTAATCCCAACTTAATATTATAAATGCGAAAGTAACTCTGTCTGTCTGTCTGTCTGTCTGTCTGTTACGCTTTCCCGCTTAAACCTCGCAACCGATTTTGATGAAATTTGGCATAGAGATAGTTTGAGTCCCGGGAAAGAACATAGGATAGTTTTTATCCCGGTTTTTGAAACAGGGACGCGCGCGATAAAGTTTTTCTGTGACAGACAAAATTCCACGCGGGCGAAGCCGCGGGCGGAAAGCTAGTAATAATATAAAAATAAAAGTCAGATAAGTAGTCAGAAATAAATGTAGATGCTGTAGGTAAAAGTAGTCTGAGATTACACTGCAATAATACGAGTATCTCCACATGAAATTTTGTTTAACTAGGTCGAGCTCGGGTGAGATTAATATTGGACTCAGCAGTATGAATGTAGGACCTAACTTTTAGCTTGGACTTTTTAATCATCTGCATCATACGAGTAGCTTAACTTTTGCAGAATATAGTACCAAATAAATATAGATGGGACCTGGGACAAATACAAAATAACAAACGACAAGTTTGCGTTTTATATGAGTTCAGATACAGGGGGATTCAGTTTCTTGTTTGGAATCAATTATTTCGATTTTTTTTATCAAAACAAAACTAATTGGAAATTAAAGCAATTTGTATCCATATCATTCCGTTTGAGCCTAGTGATTTCGAGAAAGAAGATTAGGACCACGTCCCAATTCACTTATCTTTGGTAATTTAGAAAGAGTTGGTCTTGGCTTGAACACTAAATGACCTCATAGTATTGATATTCCGTATTCTGGTTTTATTTAAGGTCCTTATTTTCTTGAGCAAATGGGTGCATCTTGCTGAAGAACGTTCCTCGGCCGCCCCCTCACGCGCGTAATTTGTGTGCTGTGATTATGCGAGGATATCGTCTGGCGCTTCGCCTTGGGACCGAATGGGATGTGTCTTCGGCCTTGTCTAGGCTCTTAGACTAGTTATTAAACTTTATTTATTGTGCTGGTTAGAGCCTAGCACCTCATATGTTTTAGAAATCAAAAATTCATAAAATCATACCGGGTTGGAATTTCATTAATCTTTGAAGACCTTTCTACCATTCCTATACTAAGATATAGATTTTGGTAGCAGTTCCCATTCTACTCGTACTACAGTATTCATCTTCTATAGACATGCAAATTTATATCGTCTCCGCAGAGCACCCATTTCATATTAGTACTTATTCAATGAATACCTTTATTATCATCAAAAAATTCCTTCAAGTCATAAAATGTTTTAGTCAGTAACCACCTCAGCAAGGCTGTCTTAAACGATTTATTGTTTAGAGTTTTAAAGTTATCTGGTATATTGTTGTAAACTTTTATGCACATGGCTATACAGCTCTTACTAAACTGCGCTGTTTTAGGCATATCGTTAAAAACCAGTCTATTGGAGTTTCTAGTATTTCTTGGATACACATTAGATGCCCGTGTAAATAAGGTTTTGTTAAGCTGTACAAATACACAAATTTCATAAACATACAGAGATGTTAAAGTCAGTATACCATGCTTTGCAAACCATGGCCGGCATGATGTGCGTGGAGGAAGTCCACATATTGCTCTCAAGCATTTTTTTTGTGCAATAAATGCTCTTTGTACGCCTGTACCATTGCCCCACACTATAAGGCCATAGCGTAGTATAGAGCCTATGTAAGCATGATATGCTGTAATGGCTGTTTTTACATTAGTTACATTTCTAACCTGCCTTAATGCAAAAACAAATTTATTGGTTCTACTACAGATATTATCTATATGTGTTTTCCAATTAATATGTTTATCGATCGTTACACCCAAAAAGAGTATACTAGAAACATGCAGATTTTGTCTACATATTAACCAAGTTAAGTTCATTCAAACTGAGTGATTCATAGAGCCGGAACATGACCGACCGCCACTGGTTTCGGTAACCGACTACAGCTTGATTTATGTAGTTAGTTAATTTAAGGTTACTAAGGTAAATTTTTGAGTGCATTTGTGACTATTGGCTGGGGTCTGAGAAAGCTTCTTTTTATGGGAAAAAAATCATTAGCGACTTTTGGACTTTTTGAACTTTTCATTAGGGTACGTAAATGGTTTCATAACTATTATTGAACGATCGTTGTTATGGT